ATGTTTCAAAACGAATACCTGCGTGAATCACTGTTTTTATAGATAACTCTGGCGCATCAAGTTTTTTAATTCATGGTGAGAAGCAATAAGTAACGATTAATTTAAAATTTCTTCATCAGAGTTTCAAAGTAGCGACCGACGCCATTACCAGATTGCAAACGCAATCAATACATTGCTACATATTGAACCCTGATATTGGCGACGATATGTGATTAAAAGCGCTTCATGCCTTCGTAACTTCTGTTCACCCTGACTTACGAACTGCAAAGAAATTGTGTAGAATGAAAGAAACAATAAGCAAACTAATTAACGGGAATGAAAGGACCAAAGAATGACACAAGAAACGAACTAATGATCATGCCATTAAATAAATTCGTTTCAGAAGGTACTAAAGTACGTTTAGATGACATTAACCCTGTGAAGTATACCTTATACATATTTATAATCAGCTCTGGTTTGTGAGCTCTGAGAAAGAAAGATTCAGCTTTTGGGAAATCGTACTGCTGTACCGCCATCTGAGCCTGCTGAAGATAAAGTTCTGGAACCATTTCCTTGCAGTGAGTTTCTGCAACACCTTCAGCTTTGCTCCAGTCTCCAGCTTCGATGTGCCTGCAAGAGAGAAAAATCAGTGAAATAGCTTAAAACCAACAATATAATATACTCTTAATATATCATACCAAAAGTTATTATATAAACGATACCGGCAAAACCTTCAATGCGGTATGTCAATAGGCTGGCGTTTTCAAAACTTCATTTTAAAGTAAACATCAAGCTGCGGGAAAAACGCCTCAAATTTTAATCGAACCGCTTATAATGGAGGATGTCGCAGTTTAGGTGCCATCAACAATAATTGCTTCCATTTCATTTCGTTCCCCCACCATAAACAGACTGTTGAATAATATCGTTGACTATGAAGTCGATCATTTTCTAACTTAGGAACGAACGCAAAAACACAATCCATCGTCACCGATAAAGTACAGTTTCAATTTAAAAAGGAACGTTCAATGGAAACAACGTTTTAAGTTTATTCGTTTGGTAATTCTGACGCTATGGTCAAAAAATTTGGAGTGAATTCAAAGTTTTAAACGTCAGTCGATCTGCCTGTCAAACTTCTAATGAACGCTTACATGAGAACGGCTTCTCTGGCCTTGCCTGCTGCCACAAACTCGGCTTCTGCTTCTGCAAGATCACCGTTCTCTTTCAGCTTCAGAGCATGTTTCAGATGCACATGTGCAGATCTTGGCTGCATTCCCAGTCGGCAGAGTTCTAGGGCAAATTCGAAATCCTCTTTGTCGACGGCGTAATCAATGATCTGCGGTAACAAATTAAGCTTGCGAAGAACTTTGACCGCGGAGTCGCCTCTCAAGGACAACGCCCAATGATACGCCACTTCGGCCATCGTATTGTCTAATCCGGAAGCTTTCGCGACCTAAAAAACTGCACAGTTTAAATCGAGTAGACTCACAATCCATAGGATAAATCACAGACTGTAACGTAGTGAAGCAGCATTACTCATTAATGGTCGATGCAATACAGTTTGTGATCCTAGAGTTCTGATGACCTGCCATGCTGTTCTTTGTTTAAATTTTGTTTTATTCCTGTTTGGAAGGCCTTTTGCAGCTACAAATGTTATTACATGCTGATTAAACGCTGTCAAGCAAATGAGCAACGTACCATTTCCCAGTTCTAGCCAAGGATATTTGCATAGGTTCGCTGAAGGAAAGGGAAACATTCGCATTCGGGCCAAATAAAATTTTCAGGTACAGAATCTTGTGAACGAGCTTTAACTGATAAGTAATGATACGTAGTTGACGCAACAAAGCTTTCGTCAATACTCATATGTTCTGTGTCATCCTGTTGGCGTCGACACAGCAAAACGGCCTTCCACAATAAAGCACTGCTTCGTCAAATATTTGCTCTGGTGTAGCACACATAATAGATATGAGAAACGGCCCGTTTCGAAATTGAACGCGGCTAAATCCAAACTGATGGCTAGCCGCAAATGAAGTTATTCTTCCGCGGCAGAAGTCTTCCTTTCAAAACACTACTAATTCGCCCACAAACAGACTTAAGTTAAGTTTTATCTTGAACCTTATTCGATATTTTTCTTTTGAATTATTTTACTTCAGTTTTAGCCAGAATAATTAAGACTCGTCCCAAAAAACGTAGGAGTTGTAACCAACCTTGCGGGTATAACTTCCGTTTGACTCATTCGTCTTTCATCTTTCCGAAGCATGTTGACAAATACCAGGCTCGAAAATGAAACAGCTTATTAAATTATAATAGTTCTGTGTTTGCTTAGCTAAGGAGGGCTATGAACACTATGGCACATCTGAATCACGATATCGAAACGTACACCAGTGCCGCGCCATAAGCTCCAAAAAGGGAGGGCATCAATAAAGGGTGTAAAAGACATCCATATCTGAACTGTAGAAACTTTCTT